TGATGACCTTGGGCTCGCATGAAGAATTCATGCATCGCCATATTCTGAGCTGCGATCTCTCTTATGCCTGCAGCTATTTTGGTCATTCCTTCAGTGAGCATGGTCGTTCTTTCAACTCGACGACGCCGGTGATGGGGTCTTTGGTGAGTGACATTGTTTCGGAGCACCTCTTCTTCAAAGGCGTCCATCCTGGGGCTTGCGTCTTCATTGCTGGAGCTCATCTTATCTACTCCTTTTTCAAGGGTGATAAGAATCTGGATTGTAATTCGACTTTATTCTTTTTCAAGAATGTCCTCTTTTCAGGGTAAGTCAATGGTTTTTCGGTGGCTTTTCCGGTGGAGAACGTAGAACTTTGGATGGGAAGTTTCCTATAGATGACGCCAATCTGTTGACCTCGTGAATTGGACCTCCTACGTGGCCAACCGATAGCTACTCCACGTGATGCTCCCTGCGCACGAACAACACACGGTCAAATGCACACGACCGAAACCAGCTGGGGTGTGGCGGTCGCATACACTCCGACGGCCAAATTAGTATCCGGTGATCGGAACAGTGCCCATGTTGTGCAATCGAGTGAAGAGTTTTATTACCTTTGCCTTTTTTCAAGCCTTGGGTATTTATAGGTAAGGAGAACTGTTGGATGTGGGGCACGTATATGCATCTGACGGTGTGAAGCGTCTACTTATAGGCGTCAATCAGTTGCGTCTATAGAGTGGACGGGTAATAACTTCTCCTGAGTTGAGTTAACATAAAGTTGATACGTCACATCAACTAGACCCTTGGAGAAGTCAAATCAGTTAAGCCTTGGGGGCAGAGAGGATCTTGACACAGATCTCTTTCTGAAAGTGGCGGCGGAAGGAGAACCTTGGAGTGCATTGCGCTTCGACCGATTTGGTAAGATTGTTTCGGTGGAAGGAGTCACTTCGGAAACACTTCGGGTTAGTGGTGGACACCTCGTATGGTGCAGTGGTGAAATTATCGGTGGGAGGAGTCACTTCGAAAAAACTTCGGGTTGGTGGTGGACACCTCGTATGGTGCAATGGTGAAATTTCTGAAGTGGTTCCGATAGGGNAAGCATAAAATACAAATAAAAAATCTCATAAATTTTTTTCATTCGCTTTTCATACCTTTTAGGAGACCATTAAGTTGACGTCGCGTGTTCACTTAATGCCTAAACTAACATTTTCCATCATAGAACAACCTCAAGCATGTACGCTTGAAAGTTAGGGACTTAGAGTGCTAGAAATTAAATATTTGAGTCCTTATCATCAAAACGTTCAAAGGTTAGAATCCCACTTAAATATTCCGTAAACAGTGTCCGAAGTCTTTTCAAAAATAATAAAATGAATGAAAAAAATATTTGGCTCCATTTGAGCGACATTAATATAAGAAGAAGAATGAGAAAGAAAAATAAAGCCGTCACGGACCCTATATAAGAGATATATTTTCAAATATGACGGTTTGATGTGATGGATAACGTTCATATTTTTTATTTTAATAAGTAAATAATGGGAAACAAACAGGGCAAATTTATTTTTATTTATAATACTAATAATTTCATTGAGATGAACAAATGCAATACAAATTAATTGTTGGTAGATATTTTCCGACTATTTATTCTCTTTTTATGATTAAGTGCTCAATCAATCACTTGGGAAGGAAATCACGAGCTCAATTGAATCTCGAACATAATGAGCACGCGTAAGCCCCTTGATCATGCATTCAATTGTCTTATGTTCGGTAATATTTTTGTCTTTCTCGTCAAATCTTTGTTTCCTTCAAGTCACCTTAACGTACCATCTTTGTTTCCTCCAAGTTTTCACCCTAATCTACTCCCACCATACTCCATCTCTTCTGTATGCAATCGAACCCCTATCATTTCCATTCTTAAGAGAAAGTGGTGGCAATACGCAAAGAGAGGTGTATTGAGATTTGAGAGTACGGAACGATAACTATTTAGATTTTGATCTGAAACGTAAATCTCTTATAATGAATTTACTATGATTAATTCTTTTTCTTAAATATGCTTATCCAAACTATCTTAGAAAATCTCTTTAGGTAACAAAAAAGACGATTATTACATCTAAATGACGAGCTACTCGATAGGCAAAAAATTTAGTATCCATTTTCAATTGGTTAGATGCTTTAAAGAGAGAATATGTTGAAGCTGGCTTGCAAGTGACGTTAACAGCGTGCGAAATATTTATCACTAATAGTCGCACTTTAACCAATATAAATAATTCAAATCATTATTCGTTAATTTTGGTAGTGAAAAAATGGTTTCATTAGATACCCTAACCACCACAGAAAAGGGGGCGACCCACACCAGCGTAAATGGCCAAGCCGCGGCCGTCGGCGCCGGAGTTTTGTACGTGGCTGAGTCCAACGGGACTCAGATGGAGATCGACGTTTCTAGAAGGAGGAGAATGACTATGCTGCCCCTGGAAGTGGGGACACGCGTCTTGTGCAGATGGCGGGACGGGAAGTACCATGCCGTCAAGGTCATCGAGCGCCGCAAGCTCCCCGGCGGCGGAGGCAACGACTACGAGTACTATGTTCACTATAATGAATGTGAGCAACGAATTGCTTCTCCTTGTTTATTTGCCTTCATTAATTAGAAATTAGGGCTACGGTGAGTTTTGTAATTTTTATGGTTTTTTTTTTCAGGAAATTAACTCGAGTGTTTCGTTAAATTGGTTTGTGGAATTCAATGTGAAAGAACTCTTTTTTGAGCAATTGATTTGATCTGGTTGTGTGTGTGTGATTGTTTTTTTTTTTTTTTCCGTGAAAAATAGAATTCAAAATTTTAAAACCAATTGGGAATTTTTTTTTGGGGAATGTACTTTAGCTGTTTAGTCTTGTGCAATTTGAACTAATATTATTGAATTTCTGCATAAAATCGAATTATAACTACTTCTAGTAGCTAGTCACCAGGGATTCGCCTCTTGAAACCTTTGGGACTTTTGAAGCTATATATTATCGAAAGCAAGTATTTTAAAATGATATAAAGAGAACGCTGATATATTGTAGAGTATTTGTGGCTAAATGTGAATTGTTGATGGTTCAGGTGGAATTTTCTCTTGAAAGTATGTTAAGGATGTTTCTTATTGAAGCATTAAGCCTAGTCTATACAATCCTAGCGAAGGGCCTGTCACTTCATTCGTACCTTCTTGACTATGCACGGAGATGACTCGTTTTCGTTTTAATTGATAATCTCGTAGCTTGCTGCCAAATGTGCAATAAATGCTTACCGGGGGAACAATAGCTAGTTTAACCTTCGGTCTTTATACACAAGCAAGTCATGATTGCCTAACAACTATTAGGATTTTTATTATTCATACATAAATTGTGAATGCAATCTGTAGAGGTGTTAAATGTGATGTTTATGGTTTTTGAATTGGTTGATGAGGAAATAAATTGCCGTCAGATTTATGGGTTTGAATACATGTCTTTTCCTCTTTCAGCAGAGCATCTTTTATTTGAGTCCAAATCCATCAGAAGCCAGTGGCAGATTTCTTATTAATTAGATTCAACTTGTTTTAAACTGGTAGATAAAGATAGCCCAGTTTAGTTTCACTTCATTTTCCTCTTATACCTGTATAGCAATATCTTTGGGTCAAGGTCACCATTTTTACATTGCTCTCTTTCAACGTTTAAAAAGGTTAAATCAGGTACTTAGAAGTTTTTTTATGAGGCCAGGTGTAAGCTTTGAGACAAGCCAATAAAATCATTCAAAAGAATATAGAGGTACACAAACATGCTTATTATACACTATTGACTATCTTGAAAATCTATAATAAAATAACCAAATAAATAGTCTAACATACAAAATGAATATAAAATAGATTAATAAAGTAATAAATAATAAGTTTCCAAATTAGTAATAACATAACAAAACTGTAATATATTACTAGAAGTATATGAAATCTAGAAATCTCCTATATTCTACTAATAAAAATTCAATTTTTATATGATTCCCATTGTACTATATCATTATCAAAATTTTCTCTTTCTTCATTATCATTTGTGACTTGCAATGTTGCAGTGTCCTTTCCCTTCTCGTTCACCTATGATGCTTAGATTCGGGTATGGGTATGCATCTAAGTGTTGGATTTTATTTTCTAAAATGTAGAATACGGGGACATTACTAAAAAGAGTCCAAATTTTGGACACAGGACGTGAGTAAGTCTTTCAAGTTTCATTTTTTTACTGAACTAAAATGTCATTTTGATTAGACAAAAATCAATTTTTGACAAAGAAAGAAATGAGTATTGAATAAGGGGTTAAGACGAATAAAATAGAATTTTGGAATTTAGTTTTCAATTATGGGAAGTTAATTACTAAATGTTTATAAAATAGAAAATGAGGGACTTAATTGTAATATGGATTTAGTGTAGCACTAAGTTGCACTATATGGAACCTATTTTTATTTTATATAAATAAAACCCTAAGCCAC